TCCATAAAGTTAATTTTCCAGACCAACTTTTACCTGGTATGAACTTCACTCAAGGTAACTCTGGGGAAATTCACACTACCTTTCTCACCTCCTTATTTACACGACTGGGCTTCCAAACGTTTGTGGGAAAATTGAGTTAAGAAGTAATAGAATTTTCCCATGAGCTTAAAGCCTCCTTGTGTTTATTTATGTACATAATACCCAGTTTATATATCTACACATACATGTATATACACATATATGCACACCACCTATTGCCATCTAGTCGATTCTGACTAGTTTGTTGTAAGGGGGTCAGTTCCCACCCATAGTGACCCTATGCACAACCAAACAAAACACTGGCCCCCCCTGAGCCCCCTGAGCCAGCAACCTTCTAAAACAGAATTGCCCTCATAGGGTCTGTAAAACTCTAAACCTCGATGGAAATAGACTTGCCACCTTTCTCCTGTGGTTTCGAACCACTGACCTTTCCATTTGTAGCTGAGCATTTAACCACTGCATCACCAGGGCAGCTTGTGTGCATATTCTCTCTCTCTCAGTACACACACACACACACACACACACACACACACACACACACACACGCGCGCGCGCGCGCGCGCGGACATAAACCAAACCACATTTCAAAGACCTGCAGTCACACAAAGTGAGTTCTCTAGCGACAAAAGAGTTAAACTTGAAATCAATAACAGAAAGAAATCTGGAAAATCCCCAAGTAGTTGGAAATTAAACAACATACTTCAAAATAACCCATGGGTCAAATAGGAAGTCACAAGGGAAATTGGAAAATATTTGGAATGGAATGAAAATAAAACATCACGCTTTGTAGGATGCATTTCAAGTAGCTCTTAGAAGAAATTTTATACATTAAAGGCATATCTTAGAAAAGTATAAAAATATAAAATCAAGATCTAAGCTTCTACCTTAAAAAAATGATATTAAACCCAAAGCAAGCACAAAAAAGAAAATAATGGAGATCAATTCAATAAAAACAAGTAAACAATAGCAAGAAATTTTTAAAAGGTAGTTCTTTTTACCTATAGACAGCAACTGGATTAAAAGTTTCTAGGTGTTATGGCAAGGAGGTTGGGGAGAAATGAGGAGCTAATGAGTACAAGAAGGAAGACAATAATCTAAAATTGTGCTGCTAGCACAACTCTTTAATATGTTTAAACTATTGAGTTGTATGATATGTGAATTATGTCAACAATCTATTAAAAAATGTAAAGCTCTTTTAAAAGAGCAATAAGATTTGGCTAAATAAATAAAAGAGCAATAAAGCTGATAATCCCTTAGCCAAACATATTAGGAAAACAAACCCAACAAACCACAAATCACCCATATCGAGTGAAATAAGGAATACTAGTGTAGATCCTATAAACATCGAAGGATCATTACATAATATCATGAACAACTTGTTGCTAGATGCCATTACGTTGATTCTGATTCACACCGTATGTCCAACAGAATGAAAACTGCCTGATCCTGAGCCAATCTCAGAATTACTGCTGTGTGTCCAGGGGCTTCAGTGGAGAGCAAATGTTTTGAGAAGGATGAGGGCAACAAATGTACAAATGTGCTTGACAGAATGGATTTATGTATGGATTGTGATTAAAAATCATTTTATTGGGGGCTCGTACAACTCATCGCAATCCATACATCCATCCATTGTCTCAAGCACATTTGTACATTCGTTGCCCTCATCAGCATTTGATTTCTTGACTGCTGTTTCCCTGAGCATTGATTGTGGGTCCAAGCAAGACAAAATCCTTGACAACTTCAATCTCTTCTCCATTTTCAGGCTGTTACCTATTGGTCCACTTATGAGGCTTTTTGGTCTTCTTTACATTGAGTTGAAATACAATCGCCTCTGTAAGCTGGCAGTCCGCGGTATGGTCAGGAGTCTTTACTAGCACTTTACTTCAAACGCACCTGTTCTTCTCTGGTCTCCTTTATCCATTGTCCAGCTTTTGTTATGTATATAAGGTGATTGAAAGTACCTGGCCAGGTCAGGTGTGCGTTAGTCTACAAAAGGGGATCATTCCCCTTTAATACTCTCAAGAGGTCTTTTGCAGCACATTTGCCCAATGCAGTACATTTGACTTCTTGATTGTTGCTTATGTGCATGTTGATTGTGAATCTAAGGTGAAATCTTTGATTTAAATATTTTCTTCATTTATCATAATGTTGCTTATTGGTCCCAAGGAATTTTGTTTTATGTGAAGGTATAATATTAAAGGCTGTAGTCTTTGATCTGCATCTTTCAGCCAGCAAGGTTGTGTCATCTGCATTATCACTGGTGGCTAATGAGTCTTCCTCCACTCCTAATGTCAAGTTCTTCGTATGGACCAGCTCTTTTGATTATTTGCTTATCATACAGATTGAGTAATATGGTGAGAAGACAGGACCTGAAGCACACATTTCCTAACTTTAAATCATGCAGGATCCCCTGGGTCAACGTTCAGGTTCCTCATGAGCACAGCTAAGTGTTCAAGAATCCCATTCTTCACAATGTTAGTTATCATTTCTTAGGACCCACACAGTCCAATGATTTTAAATAGCTGATAAATCACAAGCAAAACTTTCTGGTATTCCTTGCTTTCCATCAAGATCCATCTGATATCCACAATGATATCCCTTGTAACAAAATATTTGAGAGGAAATCCTGCCATCCTTGAGTCTAAGGAGCATGCTGGCTGTACTTCTTTCCATACAGATGTATTCATTCTTCTGACAGTCCATGATACTATTTTCATATTCTTTAGGCGCACCCTAAGTCAAGTGCATCAGTTCTTCATTGTCCAAATCCCATGGCTTGGGTCCGGCACAGCTTAGTCTTCAAAGTGACATCCTTGGTCTTCAACTCCTTAAAGGGGTCTTGTGCAGCAGATTTGCCCGATGCAATGTGGCATTTGATTTCTTAACTGCTGCTTCCATGATCCCTGATTGCGGATCCAAGCACGATGAAAACCTTGACAACTTCAATCTTTTCTGTTTATCTATGGTCCAGCTGTGAGGATTTGGGTCTTCGTTACATTGAGCTGTCATCCATACCAAAGACTGAGGTCTTGGCGCTTCATCAGCAAGCACTTCAAGTCCTCCTAGCTTTCAGTGAGCAAGGCTGTGCATGTGCACATCTCAGGTTGTTAACAAGCCTCCCTCAATCCTGATGCCACGTGGTCCACTTAGTCCAGCTTCCTGGATGATTTGATCGGCACACACACTGAGTAAGTATGGTGAAAGGATACAACCCTGGTGCACCCCTTTCCTGATTTTAAACCATGCAGTGTTTCCTGGGTCTGTTCAAATGACTACTTTTGACCCCTGTAAAGGTTCCACATGATCCCAATGAAGTCTTCTAAAATCCACTTTCTTCTCAATGTTACCAGTAGTTTGTTATGATCCAAACAGTTGATAGTCAAGAAAACACAAGAAAAATATCAAACATTATATCCCTTGTACCATGTCTTCTGGGCATACACTACTGACAAATGTGACAACGTGGATGAAGCTGAAATGCTTTAGGGAGAGATATCAGACTTAAAAGACTAGGACATAACTTACCACACCATTTATATGGTATTCTGGGAACGGCCAAGTCACAGAGAAAGAAAACAGGGCCGTATTGGCCATCCACAAACCATTTTTGGAAGGTTTACAGACTACCTCTAGCCCCTCCATGGACTCCTAGATGCTACTCATTTTTCAAGGCAGTTACCAATCCCTCTCTGGCCATCTCCAGTTCCTTCCTGAATCCTACTTATGTTTACATCTAGCTGCGTGCTGTGCAGCATGGGTCCGTTTCGTAGACAATGTGTTCATTCTCCCTTCAGATTCTGTTTGCAATCACACACGGACCCCATTGCTAGACACAGGGAACTGGGTGGATTATGGAGTGTTGAGACAATCGGCTCCGTGCCCAATGATCTTACTGCATCATTTCCCCAGGTCCAACAACTTCCCCTCATTGTGCTTAGATCCGAGGGACCAGGGAGAAGCATGGGAATCAGGACAATTTGGACAGACCCTGCCTGCCTCATAATTAAAGGAGGAGCCCCCCCCCTCCCACAAGCTAGTGGAGGGAAGTGTCGACTCTTTAACAAAACTCAGCCAACCTACCGCGCCTCCTCTTCCATTCTGCAGCTTTCCCTTCCTGCCACTCATTCATTCGTTTATTCGTCCTTTCACTGGATGCTACGTCGCTGATCAGAGGCTGCAAGGATGCGCGTGAGAATGCAGAGTTGTTCTAAAGAGCAGAGAGGGCGGTGGGCGGGCCCCCGCCGACGATGCCAGCGGGGCTCCTGGCACTGGCGTCTTCCCATCCCGAAGGCCTCCTCGCCCTGGCCTGCGAGCCCGGCACCGGGGCCCGGCGCCCCGCCCA